CTCTGTTGTAGAAGAAGAATTGTGTCAGCATGTGCATTGAACGTCCGGTTTCCGGAAAGGCAAAAGAATGGGCGGATGATGCCATCAATGCATCTCAGATGCAACCGCCATCAGTTGCAATGGCATCCGATGTTCGGGAGATAGCAGCTCGTCAACAGCAAAAAATGATGGAAGCGATGGAAACTAAGAAGGTTAAATTAAAAATGAAAATACTTCTCAATTATTAATACTTCATCTCCTCTCCAATTACTATAGGTTCTAAATGAATTTTACATATTTTTAGCCTGGAATAATGAAAAAAAGTGACAGTAAAGGAAGAGGATCTGATGCTCTCAAAATTGTGAAAATTGCACCAGGTGAAAAGCACGATGTAAGTTGACGGATACTTTTCAAAGTTAGATCTGGAAGAATGAAATAATCCACCGGCTCAAACTATGATATAGTGATTGCATGGATTTCGAATGTTGTAAAATTCAACAAAAGTATATACATAGCAACAGTTCTACATAATACCGGATAGACCTATCGGGAAATTCTCAAAAGAAAGAAAAATTTTATGATAAAATATCACTAACAGAACAACTTGAGGACAAGTAAATTAAACATAAGGATACGATAGATGATATCATAAACTCCAGTGAGCGGTCAGTGATGTGCAATCTGATGAAAGAAAGATCTGAATTCTCAATGATATCATTTTTTTAATAATTTTCTAATTCTTTCTTAATTTTTATTCCAAACTATTTCTCAAAAATGTTCCTCGTGCAACTTTCTTCGCAAGTACATTGCAGGTGATAATAGCAAGTGATAATGAAGGAAAGCAATTGAGACGTGTGAAAGAATAATCGAACATTCTCATTCTCTTAAGTGCAATTTTTATTTTGCAAATAAAACTTGACAAATTTGAAAAACGATCCATTATATTTTTCTCTCTCTGAGTGTTCAACGATTAATTTATTTCATGGGAGGCATTTATCATAAAGTTTCTTGAATTGTTACTTATATTCTTCCAATTTTTATTAGCATTTCATGACATCGACAGAAACAGGAAAAGCTTGAAAGGTGATGACAGAAATTAGAAGAAGAAATAGGAGTGATGAAAGTGAGCAACAGAAAAGAAAAAAACTTAAAACGCAATCAAATCATAAATTACATATTTCATATAAATATACTAAGCAGCAATTGAGATCAAATTTATTGAAATATTTTATTAATTGAAATTGATTAGCTTAACACAATACGAAATAGAAGCGTAGCAATTAAATGGCTTGGTAAGTTTTGATAAGTTCACTTGGATGGAACATAAATCACGTGGACCAATAAAGAACTCCGTTGACATGACTCGACTGGATAGCAAGAAATATGTAATACCTCATTTCCCCTTACTATCGTTGTACGTTCATTGTTGATTAGAGATTATGTACAAAAATACAAATAATCGAATTTACGTTTCATTCGAAGCCACTTCTTCATCAAATGGAAATTTCATTGACAATTTCTAATCTGAAATGACAAATGAATTTTACTATTTTTTTTCTCAAATGAATTTTGCTATCTTATGGATATGATGTGCAGGAAAATGCTAAGATAGGTGAAGATTGTTAAGGGATGCTATCCTGGACCGTCTCACAAATATCTATCCAAAATCCATTCAAACATTTCTTTAACAATTCATTTCCAATTGGGCTACAATCCTCATTATACAAACCGTTCAGAGATAGTATGAGATGCTAACACTTCCATTTCGGGAATGTTTTGTTGATTAATTTTGATTTCACTCTATTTCAAAAAACTGGAAAAATTAATTCAGATCTCGCAATTTATCAACAAATTTTTAATTCCCAGAAGAAAATACCGCACCCGCGGTCCCCTAACTTTACTTCCTTTTCGAGGTCACTGAAAAGCGGATAGTGTTGCGCAACGATACGATCAATGTGAGGAACCATTTTCCAAATATTTTTCAAATCGGGGTCATGGGACGATGAATTCAACACTTCAGGTGTAGAATTGTTACTTCATTCGAACGGATGGCTTTATCTACGAAAGACTTACCTTACGGCGCTGAATATGCTAAAAGTAACCGTGCTGCTTGCAAAGCATGTAATGGTTTAATTTCACAGGTAAATTTACTTAAATTCAACCGATAATTCATTTCTAGTAGTGAAGATTAGAGACTATTTTACAAAATTTTTTACTTGTATTTCATGCTGACTGAATTGTTTAGCTGGAAAAAAAAGACACTGTAACAGCAATTTGATAATATTTTATTTGAGTTAGATAAACATTTTAATTAGAAATGGAATGTACTTACAGGTAAGTATCTGGGAAGAATATAATCAAGATGTTTCCTAAAAAAGTTTTATGCAAAAATTTCAGGGCTCACTTCGCATGTCTTTTCGGAAACCGAGTCGCTTTTTTGATGGGCTGCAGGATAACTGGTATAATTTCCATGTTCGATATAAAACTTATTTCTTTTTTGAGTAGAATTTCTAACAGATGTTCTTTTCCAGGTTCCATTTCATTTGTTTCTGGAAGAAAATAAAGCAAAATGACATAAACGAAGCCTCTATTCGTGGTATAGAACTTCTGAAATGGAATGATCAAGAACGAATCCGTAAAAAATTAGATGAAAATCAAGGTTTTATTTAAAATATATTTTTCTCTACAAGTCAGCGAAAAAAGTTTGAAATATCTTTTGATTAAGGTTTTTAATATTACTTTGTTTGCCGTTTTGATAAAAAATAGTGTAGTTAACATATTATTTTTGTTCATTTCTTGTTTTCTTAGGCTATATCGTATTTTCTAGAGAAATCAGACTTTTTTGAAAAATTAAGGCATTCAACCAAAAAGAATACAAACCATACATGTTAGGAAATGAATAAATATTTTTTTCATTTAGCTGAAGTATCTTGTAGAGAAGAGCTCACTCTTGTCTCTGAATATGCTGTAACTGGTCGCAGCAAATGCGTAAATTGCAAAGAAAATATCAAAAAGGTTCTAGTAATTGTAAAAGTTATTGATTTCTATAAATCATATTTGGCCATTTTTTTATTCCTTTATTTATCGTTTTGGAGAATTTGATGATGTTAGTGCTAATTTAAATTTTTTACTTTTTATTTTTGGGAGAATATGAATTCTTACTGAAATATTTGCAGAATACCCTCAGACTTGGAATGAAGTCGGCATGGTACCATGTAAATTGTTTTGAGAAAATGCAACAATATACCGGATGTGCTGAAAAGTTTGTAATAGAGATTGGAATTTTAGCGGTTATCAAATTAAATTAGGACCTTTTATAAACTTCGCAACAGAGTTTTTGTTTTAACTTTTCTAGAAATTTTTGAAATTAAATTGTACTAGTCTTCTCTGCATTTTCCTGTACTTCTGCAGTTATTATGAATGGATTTTCAGAATTGTTGGATTCCGAGATTTGTCGGAATCTGATCAAGATCTTTTGAAAGCAGCATTTAATAAGCAAACACAGAGCAGCAAAAAGAGAAAGTCGACGAAAGTTAACGGCAACATGGCCAAAAAAGTAAAAGTGAATCAATATGATGCAGAGGAAAAGATGAAACGTCTTAAGGTAGTGCACAAAACTTATCTTCTCAGAAAATAAAATTTTAAATTTTCCTTCAGAATTTAAATTTTCATAGGAACAAACGAACGAAATGTGGGCAATGAGAGAAAAATTATCAAAATGTCTGGATAAAAGCGATATTCAGATTTTGCTGCATGCCAATAATCAGGCACTTCCTAAACATGGTGGAGAGTCGAAGGTAAATTGGCCCTTTTTATTTCTTTCTCGTTGGATTATTGAGTAATTTTAATGTAATATTTTTCTGATAAGATTTCAGTTAAATATGTTTGTTTAGTTTTTCAATCTGTCGAAAATTTAATCTTATTGTCTGCTTGACTGGACAGATTCAGAAGTGCATGTTAATGCTCAAAAATTATATCTTCAGAGTAACACTCAGTGCATAAATTTCTTCATGCATTACTGGCTGTTAATTTTAATTCTCTTATCATATTTATAAAGAATATATTAAAAAAAAAACTATTTTAGCTGCTGGACCGTCTTGTTGACTGTATGATTTTTGGCTCCCCGCTCCCTTGTGAGCAGTGCAAAGGAGGTAGCATTGTTTACAGGTAAAATCTTTCCTAGTTTGCTATAAAAGTGTAGGTAAAAATTTTTTCTGTGAGACTCCGTTATCTAATACATAAATAAATGTTGTATAGATAGCGTTTTTTGTTGTTCCATTTTTCTTACATGTATCTTCATTGTTTTCCTTACTTAATATGTAATGTTCCCTTTTTTGGTTGCATAATTTGAAATTGAAACCGCATATAATTTCACCGCAAGAAAGTAACAATGTTTGTTAGCTGTTAAACTAATTTATTTACAAAAAATAGAACATTATTACTGTTTTGCTTAACATTTCCAAGATGTTTGAATTTGCTGATTTGTTCTAGTTCGTTTTTTTCTTTTTAGCTCATCAGAACGAAGTTATGTTTGCACTGGTTGTATTTCCGAATATACACGATGTATGTATACATGTCGCAACCCACCTCGGAAACCATTTTTTATTCCTGATGAAATAAGAACAAGAATTTCTGAATTTAAGAATTTCAGAATCAAGGTATGTAAAGTGATATTTTTTTATTAGTGTAGAAATCTTATCTGTCGTTTTTCTTCCATAAAGGAGAAAAAGAAAAAGAGTTTATAAATTAAAAGGGAAGTAGTTATAAATGAAAGTTAGCTATCATGAAATTTACATGTGATTTGAACTTTTCTAGAGTTTCAGGATCCAAAGGACAGAGAATATGGTGTTTTAGAACATGAACTAATTAAGTAAGTTTTTTTTTTCAAAAATGTCCAGAAATTCTTAGACGCTTCAAAAACCGAGGTCTTTTTCCTAATTTTTAAAGTCAAAATTTTTTTGCTATCATCATTTGTTCATTCATTTATGGACTTTTTCTATTTACTTTATGATATTTCTGCTGATAAATACGAAGAATCTCTTCTCAGACGAGAGTCGCTAAAAGTTATGAGGCACTGTGTTGATCATACAAGTGGAAAGTCTATGAAACGCGAAAGTGTTAGCTCGAAAGGTGAATTCATTATGCTTCTTTGTTGATAATTTAATTCATGAACTAATTAAGCGGAATTGGCATATAGCAATTTATCTTTGTTTAGGTGCTCACTTGAAAACGCAACAGATTATAAAAAACGGAACAGTGGTTGATGCCGAATGCCCGTTTCAAGAAGTTGTACATGTATGGAAAGATGAAAATGGTTTTTTTTGCCAAAAATTTTGAACTATTGAAATATCATTTATTTGACTTTTTTGGTTATTTTGAAATTCAATAGACTGTCAACTACTTATTACAGTCTTCCAGGGGGTAGACCTGCCAGAGCAAGACTATAACTCTTCATCAGGAAATTCATCCTCTGTTTTTTGATTTAGTTTTAATCTACCAACACATTCTGACTGACCTAAGTCTGCAGGAATATACATTACTGTATTTGGATTCTAGATCTCGCCAACTTATTTATGTTCAAGTCAAATTTAGCGGAAGATTTTTAAATCATTTCATATTCTGAAATTATTTTCATTCCGTTAGGAAAACTTTGGGAAACAACGCTGGGAAAAGCAGATTTTCAAACTGGAACGAATTCATTCTATAAATTGCAACTATTAAAGCACGATGTCAAGCAAAAGTATGTAGCCTTCACCTATTAATATTTTAATATCATAAATTCTGCATAATAAAATGTTTTTCAGCCAATATAATAAAGGGATTGTTAAATATTCGGTGTATTTCATGTTAATAAATTCAAAAATATTGTGTACTTTTCAGCTATTATTTGTTTCGTTCATGGGGACGCGTCGGCACGGATATTGGTGGCACAAAAACAGAAAAATATCGTGAGGATTTGGAAGGAGCGAAAATAACTTTTAAAAAGTATATAAGTTATTATCATCGTGAATAGTTGATTCATGCAAAATTCACTGTTTATTATCAGACTTCATCGATTTGATTTCAGATTGTTCAATGAGAAGACGGCAAATAATTGGGAAGATGTTGAGAATTTCAAGAAAATTCCGGGAAAGATGTCGCTTATTGAGACTCATTATGAAAATGTAAGAATAATTTTTCAAACTGGTTTGATTCAAATGGCATAGTGGCAGCATAATACCATGGCGTATTTGAACATTTTATGATTATCTGTTTTTAACTAGAGTAATGCAATGAAATCAGGATAATTACAAATCAAATTTAAGCTTGAAAAGCAGGGACAACGGAGAGAAAGATTGGATGTTGCATCGATGGGAAATCAGTGCAACATATAATCTTTTTATCTTTTTTGGTTTTTTTCAGTTTTTTCATATATATATTTGCCTACTTGGTTTTTAATATTTCAATGACTTATTGAAAAAGCTTAATTTTGTGATTGTTTTTTTAATATTTAAAATCTGAAAATGCAAGCATCTTATCATTATTTTATATTTATATAATAGTCAAAGGAACTGCAAACATTCCTTGTGAAACCCGGATCGCTATCAAGGCTTCCAGAACCGATACAGCAAATTATTCAAATGATTTTTGACGTTAATGCAATGGACGATGCTCTCGAAAGCCTTGAGGTAGTTTTTGATCCTTCTCATAAGCTAATTATTTAATTATCTGACTAGTTAAGATGGGATCTGGAGCTTAACTTCCAAATTTTTTAGTTTGCTTTGTTTTACTAATAATTAACTAATAATTACCAGATTTTTTTCGCAAGATAGTTTTTTGCAGATCGATACAGATAAAATGCCTCTCGGAATCCTATCAATTCGTCATATAAAAAATGCATACGAGATTTTAACGGAACTGCAAAAAGTGAGCACATATTGAAGAGGAACTCATTTTAATAGAAACTAACAAAAGAAAAAAAGTTATTAAGGAAATTACATAGAAATCACACACCATTTAATATGAACTTAAAATCAAAATTTAGTTAATGGAAGTTGGTAATGCCAAATATGAAGATTATCTGGATGCAACAAATCGATTTTTCACACTTATTCCCCATAACTTTGGTATGAACAAACCGCCGCTTCTCAATTCGCAGAAACTTTTAATTGTTTGTTTGAATTATTTCATAATTTTAATTCTGCAATCTAGAAATTTTCGCTTGTTAATTATATGAGCTTCAAGAAGAAAAAATAGGGTAGGTTAGACAGCACTTGCATGCAAGATCAGAAAGTTTTTTGAATTTTCAAGATTTATTAGCTTAAGTTAAGAACATTTGATGTAAGTCGAATAGTTATTGTGAGCTCGATAATTATAGCTTATCGTTCATAAATTTTTTGCGTCACTTTGCAGCATTCATTGACGTCGGGTCTGCAAGTGAAATTAAACCACTAATTCAATATTTCTTTGTAGGACAAGACGAAACTGCTTGATGATCTTCTGGAGCTTGAGGTTACATATAGCATTTTGAGAACTGACAATGAAGTAGATCGAATGCGAGATCCTGTTGATGTACACTACGAAAAGTTGCATGCTCAATTAGAGGTCTTCACATTTTTTTAGTTCCTCTCTCCATTCAAGTTTTTCAATCTTTGTGATAAGAAAAATTTCAACTTTACACTAAAGATTTAAAATTGTTAAACCAAATCTTACGAACAAGACTGACTAAGCTTATTCAGGTACTAGATAAGCAGTCGGACGAGTACAAACGCATATTGCAGTATGCTGAGAATACACATGCACCCACACACGACCAGTACAAACTTGAAATTGTTGATGTATGTTTGTTACAACCATTGAAACTTCTTTGACTAGAAATTCTTTACTGTCTGTTTAATTCTCAAAAATTGGGGATAGTTTTTTGTAGATTATTCGGGTAAAACGTGAGGGTGAAAATGAAAGGTTCAAAAAAAATATTCCAAATCATTATTTACTTTGGCATGGTTCGCGGATAACAAATTATGCAGGTATTTTATCACAGGGATTACGAGTTGCACCGCCAGAGGCACCCATGGTATGAAATTTTTACTTCTAATCAAGCCTTACTATAGAATTTGACAGCAATGCGGATATTTTTTAAATTCAAAAAATCTATGTTTCAAAAATAATAATGTTTTCTTTATTATCACAATCTTTAAAAATGATATATGCCAAGAAGAATTTAAGAGTGGTACAACACCGAAATTTTAGACTGGTTATATGTTTGGGAAAGGGATATACTTCGCAGATTTGGTGTCAAAATCAGCAAACTATTGTTATGCACTTAATACAGAGGGATTCATTTTGCTATGTGAAGTGGCACTTGGTGAAATACAAGAGGAAGTCAATGCAAAGTCAATCGCAAAACCTAATAAAGGAAAACATAGTGTTAAAGGTATGAATTTGGTGTTGAGTTGAACGTAATTATATTTTTTTGTGGAGGAACAGGTGTATATAATCCTCATATCTGAAACATTTCTTCGATATATGAAAGCTTTGTAAGAAGTAATAATTCGAAATTATAAATGCTGTGTACAACTGAAATTGTTATATGGCACACTTTTGAATAGAAATATGTAACTATTGTTTTTTTATTTTTTTTATTTTCTTAAGAAAGTTTTTTTTATAGGGAAATAGCAGAATATTGAAATTTAAACATCTCAGTAAAATCAAGACACTGATTGAGCATCATCCCATCGAGTGGTTGTCGATTTTAATGATAATGAAATATTTACTTTAGACATGACGTAATCACTTCTCGAATCTAAACTGTGTTTTTTGTAAGCACACACTTCAGGCTTAGGACAAACGATTCCTGATCCAAGTGAGTACTTTGTGACAGAAGACGGCGTTACAATTCCTATGGGCAAACCTATAGATACAAACAGACAGGATCTCACGCTTTTGTACAATGAGTTCGTTCTAATTTACTATTTACAAAAATATATAAAGCATATTAGCTGTAAAAACTGCTTAGAATCCTCGTTCTTATGTTTATCCCAGTCAGCGGAGAGAAGAGTCAGTGGATAAGATACCACTAATTCCGTTATATATCTATCATGACAGTAATAATTAGTGGGTTGCAGGTATATTGTTTACGATGTTGCTCAGGTGGAGATCAAATATTTGGTACGAGCTAAGTTCATATCATCTCTCTTCTGAATGTGCAAAATTCTCAACATTCAGGAGTTTCGATCGATCTCTTACGCGTCTTTTTGTAAATTAATCTCTCCTACCTATTCCCTAAATTTTTAATGGAATTTTCATGTTTACTGTTCCCTTTTTTGCATATCAATCATGTCACCGTTAGTAGTGCATGCAGTTTTTATTTTGGAATTTTGAATCAATAAAGTTTCATCTAAATTTGTGTTTAGAACATCAATATCATAATATCACAATATCACTAACTAGTTCATCCAACGTAGGCTTGTCGAGGCTTAACTATTTTTAATGACCAACTGGGCTTACATCATAATCATTCATAGGAGTTATTTGTGAGCTTTCTTCTATTAATTTGTGGTACATGTCAATGCAGTAAAGTTGAATTCTGTGCAACATGTTCCAAGTCAACATTTCATTGTGCTATTTTCGTTCACTGAAAGATTTCTGAACTTACTTGCTGCCGGGTTAGACTTCAAACAAAGAACTTTTGATCGCTTTTTTGTGAGAGGCGAGTTTTATGACCATCATTCACATAGTTGGCATTACTTCTCTCCTGGGATGGCTATTTTCATAGTGTTGCGTTATTTCTAGAGCATTCTAGAAAATGAGGTGGAAGGAGTGGAATGGTTGCGGTGCTCACTTTGGTGTTCTCTTCTGATGGGTTTATTTCCTTGATGGATGAAGATGTATTTTAGGTTATTGCCATATTTTAGAGTTCAAAGCGGCACTGCATTCCAGCTAATGTCTTCTTTCAGAATAGTGCATCACCCATTTGCATTTTCTTACTACAATGGCTAAATGGGGTGAAGGTGATCCGCGATGGATTGTGGAGGAACGTCCAGATGCTGTTAATGTCAACAACTGGCATTGGTAAATTATCATTTTACTCTTCATTCTTCATTTTCTGAAATTAATATCATATAAAGAAAAAAATTTTTTAGGATATAAAGCATTATCTTTTCCACAAATTAATCAAATAAATTTTATATCAGAAAGAATGGTGATGATCGAGATTCTTATCTTTCTAGCAAGGATAGACTGGTCACTGACTTGCTTCCCAAAGTTTATTTGTATTAATGTATAAAACAGTAATATCTTGTTGGGAATTATGGGAATAGGAGTACATTCAAACGCTAGTTTACAGATTTAGAGTATTGTAGGACAGAGAAGAATGCAACACCTTGGTCGAAACAGCGCCTAAAAGAACTACTAGAAGGGCAGAAGTATGAAAATGGTTCGACTGTCGTCATATTTAAGGAACTCAAAAAATTAGACGGTGAGGCGACAGCAAACAACCGGAAAGCTAAATTAATTTTCCTCTTCGAGTGGTTCATTGAATTAACTTTTGAAGGTCCTTTTTTTTGTAATAGCTATGAATAATGCAGGTTTCCGAAACTTTTACTTAAATCTTCAAACATGTTTTTGATTTGTGACTGCTATTTTTGGGCAGTTTCGTTTTTTGTTTGTACTTTCAATTCTTATGTTATCAGTTTTTGCAGTGAAAATTGCTGGTTCGGATATCGATTATGAAGGACATATTGAAATACCAAATTTGAGCGATGAAAATGAAGCTAATGAAGTTGATGTATATATAGCCATCTCTTCTTTTATTTTTTTTATTATTTTTGCCTTTTTTATTGTTATTTATTCTATAAAGCATTACTAATTATGAAATCAGAGTTTTTTACATTTAAAAACTCTAAATGAAAATCGGAAATTTTCCATGCAAAATAATTTTTAGGTAACTCCGTCAATCACTACCACCGGACCTCATGAAGATCGAATAAGACACCTTCTGAATAATGAAGTGGCTGCATTCTTACGTCAACAATTAGCTGTTTATATTCGAGAATTGAAAGAAGAATTCAGCAAAGGTTTAATATTACCAACTGACCGTGCAAAACCACAGGTGGTTTCGAAGGGAAAAACTACCGTCGGAAAACAACATGTTGACAAGAAGGCATTTCAAAATCATGTGGTGCTGTTTTTCAATTAAATCCACAGTGTTTTTTTTTTGCGGAATCTTTCACAAAAAGTAGTTTTGTAATTAAAACATAATTGCTGTGCTCATCTTGCTCATATGAATTTTTTTGTATTTTGAATATTACTCGATATTTATTTCTTCCAGGTAACCAGTGCTGACAGTGATCTTACGAAGTCTGCGCGTGAGTTTTCAACTCTAAAATTTCTAATTTTTTGCAGATCTCATGTACTAAAATTTATAAATTATAAATACAGTAGTAATCAATTCCCTAGTTTTTTAGTTATTTTACCAAAATTCACATGTCAGTTTTAATAAAGTGCGCTGTTTTAGCGGTCAGCGTCGATGTTAAAAGCTTATCATTTACGGAGTCATTTAAAGTTCAGCCAGATCAGTTGTGGGAAGTACTTACAGAAACTGAGGTCTATTTTTTATGTCTTTTTTTAAGTTATTGCTTTTTCAACAGATGTTATGCTTAATGATTTCAATTATTACAGATGGTAAAAAAATGGTCGAACAACGACGCAAAGCTTGATCTCAAACCTCAAGGCGCTTTTACATTATTTGGTGGCATGGTTACGGGTGAATTCGTTAAAATTGTAGGCCCTCATGATAAATTTTTGCTTGTCCTTTAAGAAAAGTTTTGAGTTCCAGTCGGGTTTGGATTGAGAAAATGTGATGATGTCTAGCTTTATTCAATTACTGCTTTAATTTTATATCATTTATATCTTCCCTCAATATTTTTCAGTTAGTTTTGCTTGTTCGCCGGCCTGCTAAATTGTTAAAAATTAAATCTGTACCTAGGAATTCTACAAGCAACGTAAGATACTTCCGTTTTTCTAAGTAACGAATGTCTGAAACAAATAGTTCTTCAGGAACCATGTAAGGAACTTACAATGAAATGGCGCTTAAAAACTTATCCATCAGGATGTTTTGCAAGTGTTACCTTCAGATTGAAGGATGAGGTTTGTGCATGTTGCTAAGCATTTCTATGGAATTCAAAAATAATATATACAGCAGTCTTACTTGCTTGAGTTACAACTTTATCTGCACATTAAAACTTCATAATCATGCTTCCATGTATTTTCTTTTCGTTACATTCAAAAATATCTAATTTTTCAACGAAGTTTAGCTATTTTATTTAAGAGCAGACAGCAGCTCCGTTTTTGGACATTTGAACCGTCTCAACATTTTTAGTTGTGTAAATTAATCATTTTTTATTTTTTAGGAGAAAATTTCCTAAATAGTTCAAAAATTAAACCCTAAAATATGATTTATTGCGTTGGTTTTGAGCTCAAGGCGATTTGAAGAGAATTTTTTTAATTGTTGCAACTGTCTTAATTTTTCAGAGGGATAGTACAACACTAGCAGTGGATGTAACAGGCATCCCATCGACGGAATATGATGCTACTGAGAACGGTCTGCATCGTTTTTATATACAGAACATTATGAGGACATTTGGATTTGGAGTGCATATCTTCTGAATTTTGTGCTTCAGCACTTCTAAATGATCATTTTACAAAAAATAATGCTATGGATTTTTTATTCTTGCGTACTTATTTTTTTATGCAGCACTATTTAAGTTTCACAGAAATTTAATCTAAAAGCTTCCAAATACTTTGCAGAATGTTTTATTATAGTGTCAAAACTTGAAAGTTTTTATGTGGCTCTTTCGTATGTTTATACAGGAGATGGATATAAATCTGTTGTTCAAATTTATGTCAGTAAAGGTATCGCGGTTGTTTTTTATTATGGTTATTCAGTAATGGTGATACGAATTTCGAAGCTGGTGAATAAATACAGGAGTTAAAACACTTGCAATCAATACAGCTATAATTATATATTTTTATTTTTATCTGACGTTTTGAGTTTGAAATTTTGTTGGTATTACTACGTGTTTTTTTATGACAGCGATATAATGCTGCTAAGAGATAATAACGACAAATGGAAACACTGAAGGTTGTAGGTTCATTTGGCTCTGTCTCAGTCTTTTGATGAAATTTTTCTGCGCATTCAGGATGGTGCAAAGCAATGCATTAAAAAGCGGGGATTGTATTAATAAACAGATGTGACGCAAAAGGAAAATTCTGTATCTGTGATGGATGTCGCTGAATTAAAATCTTGAAAGAAGCTGAAATCTGAAATGTTAGTTAATCTCAGGAACATTAGTCAGGGTGTTTTCCTAGCTTTATTTGCGATTAAATCATGCATCCAAGAAGATAGATTGTTTTGAGGCGCTTCGAAGTTGACCCTTCAGCGACCGCATGCTTTTCCGCACTTGCAATTCTTTTCTAGCAGAATGATCGGCAGTACTTTTTGACAGTAAGACGGTACTGAAGCACTGCTTCCTGTATCATTGTTTTGGTGGTTATGCTATAAGATACAGATTCACTGGTGTTTATATCAATATCATCCAGTAATCTTAGATGGAGTGCTTTTGCCGCGTTTATTACATTGACAAGATATAGACTGTTTAACTGTTTAAGGAAATGCTAACTTCAAGTTTTAATTGTGCTTTTGGATCAGTTGGTGCGAAGAATACTGTTCATAGTTTTTTATTTTTTCTTTTTTTTTAGTAAATATCTTCCGCACTCCACTTGACTAACATATCGGTGTCATCCAAATTTTAAATGGTAACAATGTTTATACTTGTTGCTCCATCTCACCATACTTTGCAGGGATAGTTTTCTCGTCTGAGGATGTTTACCATAATTGTTTAGTAGTGATGCTAGTTGTGGATTCGATGTTTTTTCCATTCGTATCTCGTTTAAATTTAGATTGAAGAAATGATATTTCTTTATAATTGATTTTTTTCAAGAGAAGGCTCAAAACAAGTTTTTTTTTTTCTATGCAAATGATTCATTGGAAGCTTTTCGCTAAAATATTTTTAAACATGAAAACGAATGTCTGATTTTAAATGCAAAAAAAAACTTCCTTCATCATATAGCTGAATTTACTGACTAGTCACAAAACGATAGTTAAAAATGGAACGTATCAATTAGCTGAAGTTCTGATTAATTGCATCACATCTAATTTTCAATTATTTGAAGAAACTTTGACAAAATTCAACTAGCAATTTAATTCTTGTTCCATACTGTATGCCTAAATATTGAGAGGTATTTTTTTATATGCTAATATTCGCAAATGTATCTCTTAAGTATAAATTTTTTGTATTATTTTGACAAAATGATTCATTTGTCAAAGATATTCATCCATCAGTTTCATGTTAATATTATTATGAAATAAATCTTCATATTGTTCGCTGTCTCTCCTATCATCCACCAATATTTGTAAACTTCTTTTAAAAGATTCACTAAGCAAAAGCTGTTGCACAACCGTTTATTTTTCAGTTCAAACAACAAAAAATCCTCCGTGTTTCGTTTGATGTGTAAGCAATTGAAATGGCGCTTGTTTGAATCAAAAAAATATGAAATTCCTATGAGAAATATAATTTGTAAATATAATTGTGCTGAAAAATAACATCTCATCTCATCAATTATAAGATGCAAATTGGATCAACTCAAACAAATTAAAAATTAAAAATTCTCCTAACTATTCATTTCTTAGCAAAACATTTACTTCTCGTATTTGCTAAAGTTTCCCTTCGATAAGTTTTTTTTAGTAAATTGAGTAGTTCTTGCTACTTATTATTGACTTTCTGGTCTTTCCAATCCGACGCAAGAGTCCATTAATTTTCAAACTCTTCGAACTTTTGAAATAAAATTTCTAATTTTTGAGCTGCAATTCACTATCCACTATGTCTGTATTTTCGTACCGCTTGATCATTTTCATTCCGTTCCTTAAAAATTCAAGTATTATAGAAAAGTTTGAATTGCTACTGTAACTGTTAATATGATATTTTATGATAAATAAAAAAATTTATTTTTAAATAAAGAATAAAGATAGGCAGTAGATCAAGTTTAATTTTATTACAGCTGTTAAGATTTGCTAATCAAGTCTCTCTATACTTTTAATGTTACTACTTATTTTTTATTTTGGTTAATACTTTCATTTACTAGTCTATAAAATTTTCCAATCTTCATGGGATAAAATTTGATCACAAAGATTTCACCTTTATGATCAAATTTTAACCTCTTTAATGAATCTTTTTTATGATGTTGACAACTGATTTCTTGTTAATTTATTAGCAGAAATGAATAGTGGCATTAATGTTGTTGTTAATATCCTTGTTTGCTTCTTTGCTATTTGTCAATTTGCTGCAATTGAGAAAAATATTATCCGATTCAAATAATTTAATTATGAAATATTGAAAATAGCTAATAGAATGTGTCGAGCAGTTCTTTGATGTGTAGAAAGTGCTTTGTTAGTTGAATTCAATAAATTATAAAGATATACTAGTATTTGCGATAACAAAAGAAAAACAAGCTTTTATTTATCCGCCTGTTTGCTTCTCTGAACAGCTAGTATTAAATACTTCATCATTTAAAATAATAATTTCAAGAGCATTCTGCAAAATTCAATTAAACATCATTCTTGCTTCTGTGATATTCTGCTATGCATAGTTTAATATCTTCAAACTTTCAAATTATTCTCTTCATCTATCTGATCATAGGTCCATCCATGGTTTCTATGAACAGATCCTCTATATTAGAACTTTCTGATTTATATTATTTTTTAAGTTACATAGTAATAGAAGCAAATCTATTCATAGTATTTATTTTATTCCTGAAAATCGGATTATTGCCAATTTTTTCTGCACTAAAAGCTCTTTAAATCTTAATTTATATTTTAAAATAAAGTTAAGCAACGAGATCATAAAAGATGGTCCGTATTGTTTCCTGTTAATGATCAGTGATACACTGCTATAACCTATCCTTTTTTAATGAACGAACGGATTTTCGTCCCACTGATTGCTTTGTTGTAGTATTACACTGTCATCGGCTTTTCAATAGGACAATGCATTCATTGCTTCTTCCTTTCATTTCTTCAAATGTTTCATTATTTTCAATCTCTTCACAACTTTTGCTTTCATTGTTTGTAAATATCCACAAGTATTATTAATATATGTTTACTTATTTAAATAATTTATTGAAGTTTACGCAGTCTTTGGTAGTTTCAATCTTTAGAAAATTTAACTGAACTATTGAGTGCATTGCTTCAGTTGAAATTTCGATTTTTTCTTTTAAATTTTTAATATTTTTACATGATTTTTACATGTTTTGTATTATATTTCGCATATCATAATTAAAATCAAAAAACATTATCCACATGTTTGCATAAAAAGTTTGTCGATGCATCAATTTTACGACTAAAACAAAAAAAAAACACATTTCATTAATTGAAATTGCTTACGTAGTAATATTTCCACTTTAATGACTTCGATTAAATAAATGGAAATTAAACAAGTGAAAATTTAAAAATTTTAAGAGTCATATCAGTCGTCATTGGCAAAGCTTTCTAAGAGAAAACATTTTTTTTTAGGTACTTTCGTAGGTCTACAGTTTCTGGTGGAGTAGAAACAATTTATCACTCATGCAAAGCTTTTTTTCGAGCATTTTGATTTTGTGCTACAAACAGCTCCTGCTGAAATTTGAAAAAATTTTTCCTTGCACTTATCTCTCTCTTCTAATATTTCTTGGAACCAAAGTGTTAAACAACAGATGTTAGCATCTATTGTCCAACACTATGGCTTCTGACGCAATAATTTTTGAATGAAGCGGTTCGTAACGCGCTACTTGGCCCAGAAATAATTTGTTTGTTTGCAATGGACTAATTTGTATTACAAAAAAGAATAATCACTATCCGTTCAGTTTACTTTTTTTTTTGAAACTTACGCATTAATGTTAGAAATTGATGTTGTTGTAAGGAAATTCATTTGTAAGAAAAATGTAACTAACGAACTCGATTGCTCAACCAATGCTTAATGCTTTAAACAATGCATCCAATTTGAATCTTCACACTTTCGATTTCTTTTCATAACCACTTAGCCTTGAAATTTTTAATGCTTGTGAGGCATTCATAATTTCCGTTATTTGTATGATTTGGTGGAAAAAATGAATCTTAAAATTTTAACAAATGCGATTAAGAAGCATGATTAATAACAGCATTTATACAATGGAAGCAAAAAAATCATTTTAACAAATATTTGTAAATCGATAGGATGACATACAAGATTGATCTTCAATTTTATAATTCGAAACTTTTGTCTTTGATGTTCTAGTATGATAATTTATTTAAAAAAGATTTGTTTAACAATGGAAAATTGGAGAACTTTATAAATAATTTTTCTCTAAAATATTGACAGTTTTCCAAATTCTGAAATCTCAAAAATTACGTTTTGAACGTACAAAAAAATAAAAAGATGGTTCACTGAGTACTGCAAAATGAAATCAATCCTTTCTAGCCATATCAAATTTTCAATTGATTTCATATATTTAGAAATTAAAAAAAAAACATCATCTCAATAAAAATGAAAAAATTTCAGTAGATTTAATGTATCTAGAAAAAAAAAACGATTTAATAAAAGTATAATCATTATTAAACGTATGAAAACATTGCACTAAAAAGAATCAAAAATAAAAATGTTTGAAATATTGGTGTTAGCAAAGATATGTTTCAGTATTGAAGTGACAATTTTAGCAACTGACATATAAATTAAATGTGTTCAACAAAGTGAAACATCGACTTTTTGCACAAATTTTTGAAAGATTGTTTTAAGGGAATTTCAACTGATCAGAGGAAAAGCCTTAATAGGGGGAGGAGGGATATGTCAGGTTCTGCTCTCTTGATTTAAGCATAGTGTAAGATGTTAAGGAAGAAATAGAAATATATAAAAATATCTCATACTTTTTTTCCTTATTTATGGTTCAGAAAGCTCTAAACAATTAACTGGCAAAATCATTTCATATTGTGTAAAGTTAATGTGATGAGAAATAGTAATAAATGTCAATTTGACAAGCGGCCAATTATATTCCTCAGATAGATTGCAAAATTGAGGAAAAACTTTAATTAGCTAATGCTTGTTTTGCATTACCATTAGTAATCAACAGAAAATAATTAACAAATCATCGGATAAGGATTTAGATAAAGAGAAAGGAA